TGGCCAAGTTGGTCTCGAACTTCCGACCTCAGGTGATCCGCCCACTTCAGCCTCCCAAAGTGCTGGGATTACAGGTGTGAGCCACAGCACTGGGCCTCATTTTTGAGTCCCTCACAGCACCTAGCACAGTACCTTGCAAAGAAAAGGAAACTTACAGGCCAGGCACAGTGGCTCATGCCTGTAATCCCAACACTTTAGGAGGCTGAGGAGGGAGGATCACTTGAGGCCAGGAGTTCAAGACCAACCTGGGCAACACAGCAAGACCCCATCTCTACAAAGAATAAAAACAATTTTTTAAAAATTAGCCAGGTGTGGTGGCACATGCCTGTAGTCTCAACTACTCTGGAGGCTGAGGCTGGAGGATCGCTTGAGCCCAGGAGTTGGAGGCTGCAGTGAGCTATGATGGTGCCACTGTACTCCAGCCTGGGTGAGAGTGAGACCCTGTCTCAAAAACAACAACAACAACAACAACAACAACAAAACAAAGGGAACCCAAAATTATTTGTTGAAGGATGAAGAACGCACAGCTCGAGTCTATCGGTTCTCATTGGTTCCCACCTGCATTTGAAGTCACATGATCCTGCTGCCAGCAAAACGTTGTTGGGATGCCAATCCAAGCTGAGGACTGTGGAGCGAATCGGCTTTTTAATGTGCTTGCTCACCCACCTATGAGAGGGGAAAACTGTTTCAGTTTATCCACTCAACAAGCATCCCCAAATGACCTACAAATTATGTCGGGTGAAAACACCTAAGCATGCCACACTTTTCCTTAATTTAAAAAAAAATGATAAAACAATTCAGAATGTTATCTTTTTCAGAATAAACTTTTTCAGATAGGTTTCTATGAAAAAAGATTCTATAGAAAAGTAACAGATCATTCAACGTTTTTCTGTCAGTCACCAGGCCTCCTGCCAGAGACAAGGTTTTTTAAGAACAGGTTATAATTTGAAACTGGCTAATTTTTGTATTTTTTGTAGAGGTGAGATTTCTGCATGTTGCCCAGGCTGGTCTCCAACTCTTGGGCTCAAGCGATCCACCGGCCTCAGCCTCCCAAAGTGCTGGGATTACAAGCATGAGCCACTATGCCCAGCTGACAAGGCGCATTTCTAAAGGACAGAAAGGAAAAGAACCATGAACAAGCACTTCTCCATTCCTGGCCTTGATGATGGCGGCACAACAGCTGGTTTTCAGTGGTCCTCATTAGTAAGCATAGATATTGATTAACTCAGTTACTTTCTTTGTGAGATTTTGGATTACATATGACATTAACCTCTGAGATAAAAACTGAAGTTTGAAAATACTTCAATTTTTATTATGAATATTCAGTGATTTGCTATTCCATTTTTGGTCAATTCGGGGTTGTAAGATAGCTTAATATCCTTCCCAAGTCTCCATGAATCTGCAAATTCTTTTTAATTTCTTTCACTGAAAAATCACAACCAAGAAATTGGAAGAACCTCATATTGGGGATTAGCCTCTAATTCTCTAGCACCATCCAAAAAAGATGATTTATGTCTATGACCAGTCAGTATTTTGGCTTAACTCATTCATTTCTGCCCCCAAACTGCTGTTTAAAAACCAATCGTGTCTGATTGCTCTACAGTTGGGAAACTAAATATTGAGCCAATGCCTTTCCTTGAATGCTAAATTACCTTTCTATAGAATCACTTTTTTTTTTTTTTGAGGCAGAGTTTCGCTCTTGCTGCTTAGGCTGGAGTGCAGTGGCGCAATTTTGGCTCACCGCAACCTCCGCCTCCCAGCTTCAAGCGAGAATCACTTTCTTTTATTTATTTATTTTTTATTTTTATTTTTTCTGAGACAGAGTCTTACTCTGTCGCCCAGGCTGGAGTGCAGTGGCGCAATCTTAGCTCACTGCAACCTCTACCTCTTGGGTTCTTGCAATTCTTGTGTCTCAGCCTCCTAATAGCTGGGATTTTAGGCTCACACCACCACACCTGGCTAATTTTTGTATTTTTAGAAGAGATGAGCTTTCACCATGTTGGCCAGGCTGGTCTCAAACTCCTGGTCTCAGGCGATCCACCTGCCTTAGCCTCCCAAAGTGCTAGGATTACAGGCATAAGTCACCACGCCTGGCTATAGAATTGCTTTCTTAGAATCCTATCTGAAAAAGTTCGTTCTGAAAAAGACAGCCAGGTGCAGAGGCTTGCACCTGTAATCCCAGCACTTTGGGAGACCAAAGCAGGAGGATTGCTTGAGTACAGGAATTTGAGATCAGCTTGGGCAACAAAGTGAGAACCTGTCTCCACAAGTAATCAAAAAATTAGCCAGGTGTGGTAGTGCAAACCTGTAGTCCCAACTACTTGGGAGGCTGAAGTGGCAAGGTTGCTGGGTCCCAGGGGTTGGAGACTGCAGTGAGCCGTGTTTGTGCCACCGCACTCCAGACTGGGTGACAGAGAGAAACCCTGTCTCAAAAAATAAACCAAAACCCCCCCACAAAGTCTCTAAAAAAGGAGAAAGAACAATATTTTGAACTGTTTCATAATGTGTGTGTGTGTGTGTATATATATATATATATATATATATTTGAGACAGAGTCTTGCTGTGTTGCTCAGGCTGGAGTGCAGTGGCATGGTCTCGGCTCACTGCAAACTCCACCTCCCTGGTTCAAGCGATTCTCCTGCCTTAGGCTCCCAAGTAGCTGGGATTATAGGCATGCGCCATCACGCCCGGCTAATATTTTGTATTTTTAGTAGAGATGGGGTTTCTCCACGTTGGCCAGGCTGGTCTCCAACTCTTGACCTTGTGATCCACCTGCCTTGGCCTCGCAAAGTGCTGGGATTACAGGCGTGAGCCACCGTGCCTGGCCTTTATAATGTAATTTTTTTAATTGAGGAAAAGATGGCAAACAAAATAATTATAAGCTTCTGAGAGGTTGTTTTAAAGTACGCCTATGAAATATGAAATAACTATTCTATAGCTGAAAAACTGCCCTAAACATACAGCTTGCTCAAAGACAATACCTTGTACCATAATAAAATCCAATTTACCTATACTTGAGACTAATTCTCAACGAATAAAAATGTAAACAATTACTGAGGTTGAAGCTTAACTTGGAAGAAAACTTTCCTGTAGAAATTTGTAAGACTGCAAGGAGTACCAGCTGACATAAAGTTTAGCCTTGAGGGAATATTAATGAACTTAGTTTCCTATCCCATTACAATGAAACTTCCAAATCGTTTCTAGCAGGTAACATTTTGTTGGCTTTGATTTATACACATTTGAAAGAAAAACATGTTTCAAATTCATAACTCAATTTTTTTTTTTTTTTTTGAGACGGAGTTTCACTCTTGATGCCCAGGCTAGAGTGCAATGGCACAATCTTGGCTCACCACAACCTCTGCTTCCTGGGTTCAAGAGATTCTCCTGCCTCAGCCTCCCAGGTAGCTGGGATTACAGGCATGCACCACCACACCCCGCTAATTTTTTTGTATTTTTAGTAGAGATGGGATTTCTCCATGTTGGTCAGGCTGGTCTCGAACTCCTGACCTCAGGTGATCCACCCACCTTGGCCTCCCAAAGGGCTGGGGTTACAGGCGTGAGCCACTATGCCCAGCCCATAACTCAATTTTACTGCAAGTTCCCAATCTCTTTTCGAAGAATAAAATTTCTGAAGTTTTACTAAATTACAAAGGTAACATGATAATCCCCTCCTTTCAGTTTCAGCAGAATACAAATAACAAAACGGCTACAAAGAGTCATGTGTACTCTGCTATTTTTAGTAGAAACACAAACACTGACAGTATAGTACTAAATGACAACTTTATGTTGAAGGATATTTACCAGTCACGCTGAACACACGCCAGGTAGAATACAATTTTTTTTTTTTTTTTTTTTGAGATGGAGTCTCACTGGGTCGCCCAGGCTGGAGCGCCCAATGGCATGATCTTGGCTTGCTGAAACCTCCGCCCCCTGAGTTCAAATGATTCTCCCGCCTCAGCCTCCCGAGTAGTTGGGATTATAGGCGTGCCCAGCTAATTTTTGTATTTTTAGTAGAGATGGGATTTCGCCATCTTGGCCAGGCTGGAGAATAATTGTTTTCTTATCAAAATAAACAGGAAGGAGTAGTTAAAATAAGTTTTGGTCATAAAGTCAACCTCTATGTTTTGACTGGGTCAGCTACAAGTGATTTATTTTAAAAATGTACAATAGCCTGATTAGACTTCTACGATTCTGGTGAGTTTTCACTTCAATAGTTTAAACAAGTAAAATATTACATCAAGACACAGAGTTGTTTGGCAAATAAGCTTTAAAGAAAGGAGAACACTGGCTGGGCGTGGTAGTTCACACCTGTAATCCCAGCACTTTGGGAGGCCAAGGTGGTGGATCACGAGGTCAGGAGTTCAAGACCAGCCTGGCCAAGATGGTGAAACCTCGTCTCTACTAAAACTACAAAAATTAGCCAGGCGTGATGGCAGGTGACTGTAATCCCAGCTACTCGGGAGGCTGAGGCAGGAGAATTGCTTGGACCACGAAGGGTGGAGGTAGCAGTGAGCCAAGATCGTGCCACTGTACTCCATCTGGCCTGGGCAACAGAGTGAGACTCTGTCTCAAAAAAAAAAAAAAAGAACATTGTTATCTGTAGGAATCCTACATAGCTATCGTGTGAAAAAAAAAATTCCTCAGGGAACAGAGACCCTTTCAAGGTTATTATTTGTATATGAGAGTAAGAAAACAGCAATTTGTGCAGTATAGAGTGAGAACAGTAGTAGCATCTTGCAGAAGAAACAAGTTAGGTGATCAGAACATGGACACAATAGCTCTATGTTAATATAAAAAACATGCGATTTAACTTAACATGCACATCAGAAGGGAAAATGCTCAGACAGAATCAAGAATTTCAGAGGAAAAAACCACACAACTCCAGATGAGAAAAAACCAGAGTTTTTTCTCACACAGTAGTGCAAATGTAAATTCTATAGAGAGGGATAGAAAAAGTTCAGATGTCACTCACCAGTCATTTTCAGACTCAAAGTAACAAACAGAAATGAGTCGTGCTCCACTTCCCACAGCAAATTTGTTCTCTAGGGGGGACCACTTCACAAAAGTAGCTGCGCGATTAATTCTCAGGATCACCAGGGTTGGCTTCCAGACACCATCTTTCTGACTCCAGACATAGGCATTGCGGTCTGCTCCACAAGTGACGATGCGATCGCTCTTGGGAGCCCAGTCAATACCTGCAAGTGAGATGTGGGTCACCTGCTTTGCCCAGTCAATGACAAACAACTGAGCACAGGCAGGTGGGTGGCACTGGCATGCCAGGATGAGATGTGGTCCTTCCTCCCAGGCACATCCTTCCCCCCATCTATGTCCTGATCACCGCCTCAAGGAAAGGCAAGGATGCTTCTCTGCAAAGCATCTGGGACTCAGGATTATCTATGAGGTCATGTAGAACAGAGCTGTTTTATAATTACAGACTTTACAAAACTAAACGGGGGCATTCTTTCGACCCAGAAAATTCACACATTTCTAAGACTTCTAAAGATCTGAAGATTCATTACTTTTTTCTTTCTTCTTTATTAGATTTTTGTGTGTGAAAATAACTGTATTCATTCATTAACAGACCTCATTCCATGATATCAACCAACAGTCTGCTACATGGCATTCAACTAAAACAGCATACAGGGTAAATAAAAATAATCTTTAGTGTAAAGGAGGAAATATATATTGTGATTCATCATATATTTTTCTGAAAGTTGCTGTCAGTTGAACCATACTGAAAACCTTTTCTACATGATGCAGGTTCTGTAAAATTCTTGATTATCTTTGCATCTAAACCAGGAAGATACCTAAATGTGTATCTGAATTTAAGGTTTACTTTTCTTATTTGATGAGACTTTACTTATCTGGTACCTCTGTGAAGAATCCCAAAGTCAAGGTCAGTTTCTTATATACCAAGAGCAAAATTTACCATGACTCATTTAACATTTACTAATGAGGTATTTTCTTTGCTTTTATTTTTGTTTTTTGAGATGGAGTTTTGCTCTTGTAGCCTAGGCTGGAGTACAATGGCGTGATCTCAGCTCACTGCAACCTCCACCTCCCAGGTTCAAGTGATTCTCCTGCCTCAGCCTCCCGAGTAGCTGGGATTACAGGTGGATGCCACCATGCTCAGCTAATTTTTGTGTTTTTAGTAGAGACGGGGTTTCACCATATTGACCAGGCTGATCTCGAACTCCTGACTTCAGGCAATCTGCCCGCCTTGGCCTCCCAAATTGCTGGGATTACAGGCGTGAGCCACTGCACTTGGCCTTGATGAGTTATTTTCTAGAAATATAATTTCACATTAAAAAGTACAGAAATATTACTAATAAATATTTATTACAGATCTCTCTCTAAAAATTAATACTTAGCATTCTTGACATGTATATGGAAAAAAGACAAATATAAATCCAAGGCTCAATTACCCATAAGTCATAGTGACTTTAGTATGAAGAGTTTAATTTATTCATTCATTTACCCACATGAAATGTCAGCTCAATTTTTTGTACTACTGAAGGGAAAAAAATATGAGACTGTACTCTAAGTGATGTGTATTTTATTTATTCATTACAAGATAATTTTGCTTGCAGTCCTCTTTATTAGATTTTAGATTTTTTTTTTTTTTTTGAGACAGGGTCTCACTTTATCACCCAGACTGGAATACAGTGGTGCGATCATAGCTCACTGCAGCCTCAATCTCCCAGGTTCATGAAATCCTCCTACCTCAGCCTCCTGAGTAGCTGGGACTACAGGTGCAAGCCACCATGCCTGGTTAACTTTTTGTAGAGATGGGGTCTCACCATGTTGCCCAGGCAGGTCTTGAACTCCTGGGCTCAAGTGATCTGCCCGCTTCAGCCTCCCAAAGCGCTGGGATTACAGGTGTAAGTCTGATCAATATTTATTATTATTAAAAAGAAAAATCATTACCTTTTAGAGATACAAACTGAAATGTGAAATAATATGTCTGGGATGTGCTTCAAATTAGTACAGGAAAGGAGAAAGTGAATTGAGAACAAGATTGGCCGTTACTTGATAATTGTGGAATCTAGGTGATGGGTATAAAAGACTCATTATACACTATTGCATTTTTTAAAAAAAATCTGTTTAAAATTTTCCATGGTAACAAAACATGTTTCTTAAAAAGGTGAACAATCAAATATTTAACACAAAAGAATAAAACCTCAGAACTATGATATCCCTGATGTTTGCCACACTTCTTTTCTTTGTAGTATGGACTAGTTTTTTCTTCTAGAATGCTTTAGAAAATATTTTTCCCCCTAAAATCACTATCTTTCTGAGAAAATATGTCTGATCCTTGATCTCTTGCCCCAGAGTTATATTTAGATTTTTCCAACAAGTTTTTTTCAGATCTAAAAAATGCCATGTGAGCAGCTAGACAGAAAACAGGCCCAAGTTCAAAGAACCCCAAAAGAGAAGTAGAGGGAAAAAACCACATAACTAAATATTTCACATTTTTGGCAATTTCTTTCGTCTTTCATCTTTGTCTTTTGTCATTTAAAAGTATTTCCTTTTAAATGCTAAAATTCCAATTGAATTTTTTTTTTTTTGAGACAGAGTTTCGCTCTTATTGCCCAGGCGGGTGTGCAATGGCGCAATCTCAGCTCACCGCAACCTCCGCCTGCTGCATTCAAGCGATTTTCCTGCCTCAATCTCCCGAGTAGCTGGGATTACAGGCGTGAGCCACCATGCCCGGCTAATTTTGTATATTTTTAGTAGAGACAGGGTTTCTCCATGTTGGTCAGGCTGGTCTCGAACTCTCGACCTCAGGCAATCTGCCCGCCTCAGCCTCCCAAAGTGCTGGGACTACAGGTGTGAGCCACTGCGCCTGGCCTAATTTTTAATTTTTTTTGGAGACAGAGTCTTGCTCTATCCTCCAGGCTAGAGTACAATGGCGTCATCTCGGCTTACCACAACCTCTGCCTCCCGGGTTCAAGCGATTCTCATGCTTCAGTCTCCCAAGTAGCTGGGATTATAGGTGCTCGCTGCCATGTCTGGCTAATTTTTGTATTTTTAGTGCAGACAGGGTTTCGCCATGTTGGCCAGGTTGGTCTCAAACTCCTGACCTCAGGTGATCCACCTGCCTCAGCCTCCTACAGTGTTGGGATTATAGGTGTGAGCCACCTGCCTGGCCTAAAATTCCAATTTAAAATATCAGTATTCTTATTCTTAGCCTATGAGGCCACTGGCAAAGGAACTTAAGAAAATAGGCCAAAGCTAATAGAAATAAGGTTGTGGGAAAGGAAGAGCGACAAAAATAGAAACACTGTCTTTGGCGCTGGTTTGGAAATACACTCAGCTCCTGGTACTCAAGAGCATTATTTACAAATCACTGGTCAAAGCAAGGGTGGTCGTGAGTTATGCTGAAGAATGCAGGACAACTTCTGTAAAGGATGCAGAATAGCAAAACATGCTAAGTTCTCTTATTTGGGTAAGGAGATCTCTAAGCTCACCAGTATTTTAGGTGATTAGAGGTAAAATTACAGAGTCCAGCTAAAAGAATAAAAAATCAGCCTGGGCAACATGGTGAAACCTATCTTTACAAAAAAATTAGCGAGGTGTGGTGGCGTACACCTTTAGCACCAGCTCCTTGGGGAGGCTGAGGTGGGAGGATCGCTTGAGCTCTGGAGGTTGAGGCTGTAGTGAGCCATGATCACTCTAGCCTGGGTGACTGGGCAACAGAGCAATAACCTGTCTAAAAAAAAAAAGTCAGGCACGGTGGTTCACACCTGTAATCCCAGCACTTTGGGAGGACGAGGCAGGCAGATCACTTGAGGTCAGGAGTTCGAGACCAGCCTGGCCAATGTGGTGAAATCCCAACTCTACTAAAAATACAAAAATTAGCCAGGTATTGTGGCAGGTGCCTGTAATTCCAGCAACGCGGGAGGCTGACGCGGGAGAATTGCTTGAACCTGGAAGGCAGAGGCTGCAGTGAGCCAAGACTGTACCACTCCATTCCAGCCTGGACGACAGAATGAGACTCCACCTCTAAACAAACAAACAAAAAAACAGAAAAAGAAAAAGACAAACACTCAATGAAAAAATGATCAGGATTTATGAACAGGACAGTCACAACGAAGAAAAACTCTCATGGCTAATACATGTCTGAAAGTATGCTCATCTTTTCCATTAATCAGGAAAATACGACTTACAGAAGCAACGGATGAACCTTTTATGCATTCATCAGTCTTACCACCTCAAGTATGTGGCGGGGTGTGGGAAAACGGGCACTCTCATACAGGACAAGTGGGAATGACGGCAATCTGATGAGGCCTGGCAACACTGCAGATGTGCATATCCTATGGTATTAACACATCTACCATCTACAAACATTCACGCATACGTACAGAAATCAAGGGATGCCTATTCAGCACTTCCATGTAATATGGAAAAATTGAAACCACCTAAATGTCCTTCAATGGAGGAAAGAGTAAGTAAGTGAGGTATAAAATGCTAATGAGTAGTTAAAAGGAATCAACTTGATCTAGACAGCAGCATAGATGGATCTCAGAAACAATCACGAATGCAAAAGCAGGCTGCCAGAGATGCATAATATCATGCCATGTATGTAGCTTCAAAAAATACTAGCCAACAGTCCTAAAGATTGTTTTCTCTTTCTTCTTTTGAAAACAGGGTCTTGCTCTGTTGTCCAGGCTGGAGTGCAGTGGTGTGATCACAGCTCACTGCAGCCTTGATCTACTTGTCTCAAGTGATCCTCCCACTTCAGCCTCCCAAGTAGCTGGGACCACAGGTGTGTGCCACCACGCTGTGCTAATTTTTTTATTTGTAAAGAGGGGGTCTCCTTATGTTGCCCAGGCTTGTCTTGGATTCCTTGGTTCAAGCAATCCTCCCGCCTCGGGTCCCAAAGTGCTGGGATTACAGGTGTGAGCCACTGTGCTTGGCCTAAGCTTGTTTATGAACATGTATGTATGTAAATATATTAAAATGGACTGGAATGGTGTCATAGCAAATTATAGTCTGCCTTCTAGGGGAGAGGAATAGAACTGCTGGTGAGAGGTGACTTTACCATTACCTAGAATAATATTCCTTATTATTATATCCTTTTTCCTTAAGTTTCCTGATACAGGAAAAGAAATTACTTCCTGGCACAGGGAAAAAGTTGGTAATTCTGGTGGCAATTATCTGATATGGGTGTTTATTATATTACTTTGTTCTTTTCAATATTCTGGAAAGTCTTCCTTATCCTGAAAACACAAAGGAAACTTTTGGAAGACACTTGGAAATACAGTTTGGCTCACGTTTTCATGTTGTCTACATTTTCATGTTATCTAGCTTTCAATTTCACGTCTCATCTCCTAATTTTAGCTGTTTAGTCCTCAGGGTAGGTTCAGTGCTTTCTATAGCAACAGTAGAGTGCTAGGTACCAACTGGGGCTACAAGAAGCACTTAACAACTGAGATCATTATTATAGCATTTTCTCTAAAATTTTAAGGAAATTCAGTAAGTGCTGCATGACTTTAAATACTATGGGCTGGGTATGGTGGCTTAATCCTGTAATCTCAGCACACTGGGAGGCCGAGGCAGGTGGATCACGAGGTCAGGGGTTCGAGACCAGCCTGACTAACACGGTGAAACCTGTCTCTACTAAAAAATTAAAAAATTAGCCGGGCACAGTGGTGCGCGCCTGTAATCCCAGCTACTCAGGAAGCTGAGGCAGGAAAATTACTTGAACCTGGGAGGCAGAGGTTGCAGTGAGCCGAGATTGCGCCATTGCACTCCAGCCTGGGCGACAGAGTGATACTCTGTCTCAAAAAAAAAAAAATATGGCCAACTGGGTTTATTAGGCTCTTTATCTAAAAGGAAGAGTGCCTGATTTGGAAATACCACACTAAGCTCACGGCTATCTTCCTTTACCTGTGATGTGTCCATTGTGCTCCTTGAGTTCATGAGCTTTCACCCACTGGCTTCCGTTCTTCTTGTAGATATGCACTTCGTGATTATTGGGACTGAGGGCAATCTCTGGAGACAGAATTCAAACAACAGTTAACACCTGAACTTGAAATTGTCACCAAAAAGGAGACATGTCACAGTTGTTTTAAAAGCAGACTGTAGTTAAGGAAAAGAAAAACTTTTGAAAAAGTAGTTCTCAAATTCACCTCTGAAGAATTCCTTTTATTTATTTATTTTTTTACCTTTACTTGGGTCCTATATTTTATAATGCTTTACAGGAAAACTAAGATTAAAAATTCATTTTCCCAGAGACATGTACAACTGTCAGTTAATGATTCTAACCAGCAAAAAATAAACAATGTTACTATACCTAGTCAAAATAAATTTAGATCAGGGTAAAAATATTTGACAGTTTCATTCACCTGTGGAATATTATTAGAGCTAAATCTAAATTTCTGTTGGTCTTTTTGAAATGCTGAAAATAGTTTATGGACTTCCATTACTGTTATCATGGACCCACGCTGGAACAACTAGTTTATATAAAAAAATTGATTCTGCTGATAAACTATACTGAACTTCTCCTTTACAATAAAGCCAATATAGATCACAATACTTTGTTTTCAAGAGTAATTTCCTGAACTAATCCAAAATATAATACACAAAACGGACTTTTTAAAAACTCATACAGGTTGCGCATCCATAATCTGAAAAGCTGAAATCTGAAATGCTCCCAAATCCAAAACTTTTTGAGTACCAACATGACACTCAAAAGGTCATGCTAAAACGTAATGCTCTCTGGAACATTTTGGATTTCTGATTTTCTTTTTCTTCCTTTTTGAGATAGAGTTTTGCTCTCATTGCCCAGGCTGGAGTACAATGGCGCGATCTTGGCTCACTGCAACCTCCGCCTCCCAGGTTCAAGTGATTCTCCTGCCTCAGCCTCTGAAGTAGCTGGGATTACAGGCATGTGCCACCACGCCCAGCTAATTTTGTATTTTTAGTAGAGACAGGGTTTCTCCATGTTGGTCAGGCTAGTCTCGAACTCCTGAACTCAGGTAATCTGCCTGCCTCGGCCTCCCAAAGTGCTGGGATTACAGGCATGAGCCACCCGGCTTGGCTGGAATTCACAATTCTGGTCCCAGGCATTTCAGATAAGGGATACTAGACCTATATTCATATATCATTTTTTACCCTTTCTAGTTCATCTGTTTTTTGTTTTGTTTTTTTAAAATTTAATTTAATTTTTATTTTTAGTAGAGACAGGGTCTCACTATGTTGCCTACGCTGGTCTTGAACTCCTGGCCTCAAGCAATTCTCCTGCCTTGGCCTCCCAAAGCACTAGGATTACAGGCATGAGCCAAGATGCCCTGCCCCTCTTTCTTTTTATTGGTTTCTTAAAATTAAAATTAGGATCTATGGGCTGGGCATGGTGGCTCATGCCTGTAATCCCAGCACTTTGGGAGGATGAGGCAGGCAGATCACTTGCGATCAGGAGTTCGCGACCAGCCTGGCCAACAGGGGGAAACCCCGTTTCTACTAAAAATACAAAAATTAGCCAGGCCTGGTGGCACGCACCTGTAGTCCCAGCTACTCAGGAGGCTGAGGCAGGAGAATCGCTGGATCCCAGGAGGCAGAGGCTGCAGTGAGCCAAGATTGCATCACCGCACTCCAGCCTGGGTGACAGAGTGAGACCCTGTCTCAAAAAAAAAAAAAAAAAAATTAAGACCTATGATCCAAGCTTTAGGCCAGTCATGAATAGTCCCCACCTACACTCACTTTCCTACCTTCCTTAGGAAAGCTACATCTATCTGCTTTACAGATAAAACTGTGGAACTAGGTAAATATCTAGCTATAAAATCCTAAGGACTTAAGAGTGCTTTCTGAAAACTAGTTACATATTTCTCTAACTTTCTCACATGTATATAGAGATTTCAAAAGCCAAGTCCAAATTTAAACCTGGAAAATGTTATAAATTTCAAATTCCAATGTCAAAAAAAATGTTGACTTAATATGCAGAATTTATCAAGTAGTTTAAATGAGGACAATGATAGCTTGCATCCGTATTAAAAATAATTGGAAATACTTCAAAAGCCTATTTTTAGATGGGAAAGTGGAAACAGAAGATCCAGGAAAGCTGGCTATGAAGCTCTGTGAGATGGTTACAAAGCACATGCTCTAAATTCACTATCCTGCCAGGTTATATATATTCAAGCACCCAATACACAGGCTCTTTTTTTTTTTTTCTTTTTGTGAGATGGAGTCTTACTCTGTCACCCAGGCTGGAGTACAGTGGCGCGATCTCGGCTCACTGCAAGTTCCACTTCCAGGGTTCAGGCCATTCTCCTGCCTCAGCCTCCCAAGTAACTGGGACTACAAGCACCCGCCACCACACCTGGTAAATTTTTTGTATTTTTAGTAGAGATGGGGTTTCACCGTGTTAGCCAGGATGGTCTCGATCTCCTGACCTCATGATCCACCTGCCTTGGCCTCCCAAAGTGCTGGGATTACAGGTGTGAGCCACCATGCCCGGCCCTGAAATGCTTTAAAAAGATGGTG